TATATTCTTTATCATAGTCCAATTATGAATGTTTATGAGTATTTTTATATAAATATTTTTTTTATATTTAATATTATCTTGTTTGAAAAGATTTTATGTAAAATCAACAGACTTATGTGGTCAAAACATCTATTGGTGTTAAATAGATTTTAAACTCAGCAAGTTATAAGCAGGATACAGTAGTTCCTATTAGCTAGTGATCTTGCATCCTGTATTTTGACAAGATGTCAAAATACAGAATGCAAGGCCACTAGCTAATCCCAATACTGAGAAAACCATTGAGACAATGGTTTTCGTTGGGATGCCAAAATGTCCCATATTCTAGGATTTCCCAGAAAAATATATATTTTGAAGGATCTTGGAGAATTCTCTTTTCAGAATCCTGATTTATTTTAATAGTGCATATATCTGTAAACTAAACAATTGCTACCATTTATTAGTTATTATTGTTATAGAAATAGTGAGGCTGTATGTAAAAATCTTTGTCATCCTGATCCTTCTTGTCAGAGGTGTGAATCTTGTATATACGCAGACAGTTGTCGCAAAAGCAGCATACAGTGTATTGCTATATATAGGATTTACCAGAATAAATAACAATATAAAATATTATTAATATTGCAAAGTACACTTGCAACACAGCTATATGGAATTTTATGAATTCCTGCAGGAAAACAAACCACTACTACAAGAGATACATTTCCCTGAAAAATAGGCAGCCTAAGCTATTGAGAATCCTAACAGCATATGTGTAAAGTAAATTAATAAAAAACAAAATAGTATGGTTTTTGGAATTTGTTGTTTACCCTTAAATTATGGCCTTACTATTTGTATCTATGACAAATGCAAGCAGTCTGATAAGGATGGGTACAGACACAGGAACAGAAGGAAGAGAGTGCTGGACTGTACCAAAATCTAGTCAGTTTTATATTAGTCTTAATTTCATTTAAAAAACTTTAAATCTGTTGAATTCTTATAAGAATCAATAAACTATATAATATTGGTTTTAAGAAAGAAAAACATCATTTTACTTAAGCATTGTATGTTTTTGATTTATAAAACATTTAAAACAAAATTAAGATTCATACTTCAAACTTAACTAATCAAACTGTATTTTCCAAATAGAAAGCTATACTTTATATGTTTACTACAAAGATTGAAATAATTTTATTAAAATTTGCAAAGCAAGAGAATTGCACACCCAAAAATGTAATGCATTATTCTTGCTTGATATAATACATATAATGACTAATAGATGTAATCGTATAATAGTAAAAGTAATAATAATTTAATAAAAATTTTCTTTAGTAATTCAATAATTTTGTAAGATTGATTTTTAAATGTTTTTTCATTTTTGATTATCATTAAGGAAGTCAATTTCTTCAATACTTTAACCACGTTTTCATTTGATTTGTCTTTAATAGTAATTTTATAATTTTTAATTAGAAATTCATTTTGTTATCTATCAGAATTTTTATTTCTTTTCATTAAATTTTATTATCTTTACCAAATGCTCTTCAAACTTGTTCTATTGTTCATCTTTTACTTTGTCATTTCAACAGTTATCTAATTGTTTTGATATATCTTTATAATTGCCATTTACAGATTAAATCTATATTTTTATTATATTTATCACTACAATGTTTCCAGGTGGTTCTGTAAAGGTATTGTAATAAATGAACACCTGTTGATAAGCAGATACAAAAATATTGGATTGTCCAGTTCAAAACTGGACATCTGCCATCCTACTTCATTTTATCTAGTATATTCTTGACTTTACTGTTTGATATTTGTTTTTTAAATTTTGTAAATCTCTAAATTGATTCCATCTATTAGTTCATTTTTGATTCTTTGTTGTTACTTTTAATTGTAGGCCAACAATAAATACTTTTTAATTAGAACTCCTTTTTGATAATACAATATACTTTTTACAATTACATAATACATAATTTTATTGAAGGATTATCATACAATTGAAATTATTATTGCCTTATATGCCTGCTAACATGCATATAATGTAATAATAGTTTCAATTATATGATAACTCTTCAATAAAATTATGTATTATGTAATTGTAAAAAGTATATGGTATTATATATAAAAAAGGGATTAAATGCCAATTGATATATGATATGCTCAAACAAGCACACAAAAATTTATAATTTATGTTGAAAAAATTTTTGTTTTGAATTTTTTGGAAATAAAACTTTTGAAATGGATTACTAATTATCTGTCTAACCTTAGCTAATACTGAGAGCAAAGGATCTTATTTTAAAAAGATGGAATTTGACTGAAAGAAAAACAATTCAGCCTGCTCATAAAATCTGAGAATTAAAATAATGAACTGTTTTTGCTTATCTGAAACTGATAGCTTTAAATTATTAAATGTAATAATTTAAAACTATCTTTAAGGCTGTTAAGCTTTTAACAATCTTAACTTTGCCATCAAATATTAATAACATTTTTCTATTTGCATTAGAACAAGATACAATATGATTGTTTTTTTTACTTTGTTTTCATCAAATAAAAACATTGATTTATCAACATCATATGTATATTAGTAGGAAATAATTTTTTACAGAAAGTGTAATTTTTCAAAATATTTCCATTACTATTTGATGTTGATAAATAATTTTTAGATGTAACAGCTAATAACATTTACTAACATGCAATAATGTTTCTTATTTTATTCATGTTTTTGGTAACATTTTTATCAAAACCAATAGAAATTACATAAAAATGAACAATTCTTTAGTTGATACCAATACTACTTTCTAACTTCTGAAGGGATTATACTTTTGTTGCAATTATAATTGTGCATGGCCTAAAAATAAAGTTGATCACAATTTTATAATATGGATGAACTAAATATTCAGAAAAATTACTGTTTTTCAGTGAAAATTAAAGGATTAGTTACATCAAGTAAAGATATGGGCAAATTCCATATCTTTACTTGATAAAGATATGGAATTTACCCTTTTTGATCCCCTCTCCCAACATCATTGGAAATCAAGGTACTTCCCTTAATTATGTCATTAGGCCAGTAGTTTAAATCATTTGTAAATACACAGGAATTATTTTCCAACAGTTTTGTGATGACTAGAAAAAAATAAATAAAAATAGGTGCAATTTTGCATTATAAAAGACTCATTCCCTTTCCCCTATTATCATCAATCATCAGATACAAATGAATTTCTCCCTCTCCATAAACTGCTGACATAATACTTGAATGGTCCCTACAACTAGAAGTTTATTAACTGAAATAAAAATTGAGAAATGAGACCCAAAAATAAATTTGTGCATTTAAAATTTATGTACTGCAATTGTCTTTCCAAATTTGTGTTTCTAAGGGCAGTCACATTATATATAATGATAACTTTTATTTAACTCTTTCTTACATAATAAGCAAATAGTAAATATTATATATTGCATAGTGATAATCTAAGAATTCAGATATTTCATTAAGTTTTGACATTTTACATAAATACCAGTAATACAGGTATACCTCGACTTACGTCGTTTCGAGTTACGTCGTTCCCGATTATACGTCATTTGTCAAAAAAGTATATGGAAAAATAAAAATTAAGTTTAAGTCATTTTATTCGACTTTATGTCTGTCCGCCACAAATATTGAAGTCATAATATCACTAGAAAAGCGTTTAAAGCACATAAAATCACATTAAAATATATACATTTACAAGTATGTACTGTATTTACAGTACATGCATTCGTAAATTTAGATTACTTTTTTTGTACTATATTAAAAACTAAAATTTAATAAAATTGTTTGTAAGTTTAATAAATAAAATACAGAACCGGGAATGGTAATTTATGGTTTAGCCTAGTGACAAGTAGATTCGGAGACAAGTAAATTCGACTTACGTCGTTTTTCGACTTACGTCGCTTTCCTGGAACCAATTACCGACGTAAGGCGCGGTATACCTGTATATATTTTTTCAAACAAAATTCTAAATTATTTTCAATTTCCAAAAAGTTATTTCATTTTTAGTTCCAAAAAATTTAACAAACAAATCTACATTTGTTCATAAACTGCAGAAATAAATATTCTAAATTTAATTATTAAATCTCTAACTTTAACAAAATTTAATTTGTAATAAAATAAAATAACTTTTACTTTAGAATTAAATTCTAGTTCTAAATGATGCCATACTTATGAATATTAAAAGTACTATATGTAAGTTATAAATTGTAATACTGTAAAATTACATGTTGTAGAATAACAATCTTATTTATCATATATTAAAGATAAAACATGAAAACCTCAGACATTATTTTAAAAACTAGTTTAGTCTTTTTTTAAATATTATACTGTGATTTTTAATACATTTTTAGCTTTGAGTTCATAAAATTTTTAATAATCCATATATCTACTTTCCAGAATTGGATTAAGTTATTAATAAACTGGTCTATACAGATATCAAAAATATTTATTTAAAGAATGTTTTTACTCCATTTGAGCCATTTTCAGTTTACAAATTGAATGGAATCAAATATTGATTTTTAATCATTGTTTAATGGAACATAACCATTGAAATGCTGATTGAAATGCTGAAGTTTAAATTATTTTAAAATGTTAGGTTTTATTGTACAATCATTGAAAATTGTTTGATTCTCTTCAATTTGTAAATTGTATTTGGCTCTATTTGAGCCAAATACATTCTTTAAATAAATATTTTTGGTATCCATATAAAACAGGATGAGTTTTTAACAGTCAAATAAATGCCAAGTGTTTTTTTCATTATTTGTTTTAAAGAAGATTATATTAAATTTTCTGTAATAATATAAATGATATATCAAATAATTTCCTTTAATGTTTCACTTCATAATGAAAACATCTTAATTTTAAGAATTTATCATTTTAATAGTTTTTAACTGCATTCCAAAGTATTTGATTTTTCATAGTATCAATAAAATATTAATTGTTTTTAAATGAAAAATAAATTGCAGAACTTTTAATTAATAATGATTTATTTAATTTTTAGGATATAATGTACCAATTACTTAGTGGAGTAGACTTCTTACATTCCAATCGTGTTGTTCACAGAGATCTTAAGCCACAAAATATTCTTGTGACAAATTCAGGACAAATCAAATTAGCTGATTTTGGCTTGGCTCGTATCTATACACAGCAAATGGCATTGACGTCTGTAGTAAGTTTTCATATTTAAGTCTTAATGCCAATATTCATATTGGAGTTTTGTTTCTTAAACAAAATTAAATAATTTTATGTGGTAATCTGTCAAATCGTGTATTGTGATATTTTTAAATTATAATTAAATATAATAAACATATAATTTTTAAAGTTTAATACTTAATAAATACTGTAAAATAAATAATTACATTTTTTATTGTATTTGAACTGAAATAGAAATAAACACACATGTATTTTTAGGTAGTGACTTTATGGTATAGATCACCTGAAGTTTTATTACAAAGAAATTATGCATCGCCAGTTGATGTGTGGAGTGTTGGTTGTATTTTTGCTGAACTGTATAGTAGACGGTATGTAAACTGTAGTATATTTGTGAAATTAAAAACAAATAGATATTTATATGAAATCTTGGCTTTTTCAGAACTCTCTTTTGCGGTCACTCAGAAAGTGAACAGTTGGGGAAAATATTTGAGTGAGTTCTTTTTCCAAGTATTTGTAACTCACTTTAATTTTTTTAGTTAAAAGATATTAAAGCAATAAATGATATTCATAAATGCATATAATAGTAATAATGCTTTAATTTGCTAAAATTTCAGGTAATACATGAAAAACTAACATTTCTAAGCATATGTATAATAATTTGAATATGAATTGAAATTAAAGAGAGGTGCCGCTCTTTAATTTCAATTCATTTCAAAATATTTTAAAATTTTTTTAAAAGTTTAAAGCAATTTGAATTGAACTTAAATAAACAATTTTCTAATAATCACTTGTTATTACAAGTTATTTATANTATAGTTGATTTTAAAAATTTCTAGACAGCATATTATTCAAATTTAAAATTTGTTTAAAATGTAAATGATTTTATAGTTTTATGCTGTAAAGAAAATTTCAGATAATGGATTCTTTTCTTGAAAGTACTTTAAATTTAATTTCATTAGTAATCAGAACTTTAGTAAAGTACTTTGTAATAATAGTATGTATATGATTTCAAGAAAGTATACTTGTAAATAGTTGCATTAATTCAAATATGAATCCAAAAATTATTGGATATGATTTCTTGCATGATAAATTCTATTAGCTTTTGTATGAATTGAAATATTTTATTTGTTTGGTATCTAATTAGTATTGTCAATACAGTAGAGTCCCTACAACGTGCAAATAAAGCAAGCAACACCCTCGAATTATATCGATCAGAGGTATATGTTTTTTTTTCAACTTATAGGCCAAGGTTTAAACTTTCATAAATCGTGTGATAATGCAGGTTTCGATAACGCAATTTCCTATAATGCGTAACAAATCCCCCACATTGTATGGCACTCTACTGTATATTTTTATTTATTTATTATGTTACAACTACATACTATGCAGTACTTGTTGTCAAGATATAGATGAAACATCATGAATTATGATATGAAATTATTAAGATATATAGATGAGAAAAACAATTTTTTAAAACTTTTACTAAAAAGTTTTCAAGAAATTTGAAGTGAATAGAAATAGTGATAAGTTAAAGATTTCAGTTACATTATAAAAAGGCTTTTGATATTGTATTTCAAAAATTTATTAAATGAGACATTGTATAGGAGAAATTCCTTAGATCTTTCCATTTTTGAAATGTTTCAAATGACAAAGAAAAGAAAAAATATGAAAAAAGTAAAGCATATCTTATCAATAGAATTTAATTTAATAATACTGGATGACAAATTTTTGTGAGAATAAACAAACATAAAAAAATGTTCAAAGGATTTAATAAAACTTGTTTAGTGGTGGAGCTCTCAAAAAAGATATTCATATATTAGAAAAGAATGGTTGTTAGAAGAAATAAAATCAAATAAAATTTGCAAAAATTTAATTCAGTTTTATTTCCAGAAAAATTTAACTTGTTTTATTAATAAAAGTTGAGTGTTTTCTGTTCCTACCTTGGAAGCAGCTTTAAAAAGAATACCTTTTATTTTAGTACAAAAGATCCTTATTTCTTTTAAGTGTTGAAAAACAGTGGTGTTAGTCCAAGTTTAGCTTAAATTAAGTCAAATCCAAAAAAGTGCCAAATGCATTTAGCAATCTTTTCTGGACTTAAATAAATCAATAGGTCATTGATTAATAATGGTTAATAAACTCAATTTACATTTATAATCACATTGTTTGAGCAGGAACACACAAGTATACAAGTATCTTTAGGGTTTCCAACTTGTACAAAAAATGGGAAGGCATAACATGTTTTTATATTCATGCAAAGACAACAAAATAAAATAATTTAATGCTTCAACATAAACAATATATTTGTTCAATAAAGATGTTACAGCTGTAATTGTATTTATAACTACAGTATATCTGAGAAATGTTCTGATATTGATTTCTTTTTATACTTGCTTAATTACATTTTATTATTAGTTATAGCAAAAAACTTTAATTAATATAATTCTTTATTTAAGCTAGAACAATTTACATATACTGATAAGTAACATCAAATGAATAATACAAAATAATTTCTTATAAATATTTCTTGACTAACTGTAAATTATAAAGCATTAAATAGAAAATAAATAGGATTTTAAACTGAATGTTAAAATTATTATCAACTGTTTCTCAATGCCACTCTAATTGCTCCTAAATTTTATTTGCATATTGAACTCTGATTAATGGTGGTCTTTGTCTTTCTGTTATAATCTAGTGATAAGCTAGTACTTTAGAACAGGGGTGTCCAACCTTTTTGTTCTTCTGGGCCACATTGGAAGAAGTCATGGAGTTTTGGGCCACAAGTATATATAATATATTTGTGACCCAATCCTTAAATATACTTGTATATTTAAGGATTAACATGTCTAGATTATAGTAATAAGTATTAAAAGTTTATCATGAACAAAGATATTTTAAAAAATTACTTCTACAGACCCTTTCAATTTTTACTTAGAAATAAATAAATTCATTTATTATAAAGGAAACAAACAAAAATTTATTTGAAAAACACAAATATTTGTTTTATGTAGATCTCTAATTAATAAAAAATGACGAAACACCATTTTAAAGTGTATTTTTATTCAACTAATATATTCATAAATAATATGTAGCCCAGAAAGTAGCCAATGCATCAAATGATAATTTTTATGCCAAAATGAAAAAAGGGTAGCCAAATCTTTCAATGCTGGAAAGAATACTAAATAATGCTGGAGTTGGAACTCAAAGGATTATAGACCCAAATTTGAGAAAAGGAGAGAAAGGCCAAAAGATAAAAAGTAGTGAGGAAGGTTGGAAAATTAAGGGTCAATATTTGCATAACAGGTCTATTTAACCTTTCTCACTACTTTTTATCTTTTGGCCTTTCTCTCCTTTTCTCAAATTTGGGTCTATAATCCTTTGAGTCACAACTTCAGTTTTATTTAGTATTCCTTTGTCATTCACACATCTCGAAGTATTTGAAAATATTTCCTTTTCACTCAAAAATAAAATATGTATAAAAGTTTACAGCTTTGTGAAA